GGGCTATTAGCGGGAAGTCTTATTGTTTATTCTCCTTTATACCTTATTATCAAGACAAATACTTACATTTCTGTATTTTAAAAGAGAGGCAAGGACCAATGGTATATATTCCATTTATATAGATTTCATCTGTATGCTATACTAAACTTTTAGTGACACTGTTGCCATCTGTACGGCTTTACTGTCTAAAAAGTAGAGTAGTATTGAAGATAGGAATGAGCTGAGTCTTAAAAGTCTCAAAAGTCTGGCTAGGCCAAAGTGGGCAATGTCGGTAGCCGGCTAATTGCAATTAATTATTTAAGTAATCCATCATAGTGGAAACACTGCAGTTGAAGTTTGCTCTGCAGTCGGGAATGTAATCGGGCTCTGGCTAGAAGGGGGAGGGGTGTACGGGGCGACAACGTCTGCGAAGTCGATGTCGGCTTTTTGGCAAGAGAGAGAGAGAGAGAGAGAGAGAGAGAGAGAGAGAGAGAGAAAAAAGAAAAAACTTTGTTGTGCCGCACACGCGAATGTCGTATAAGTAATATGTTTTTTGTTTTTTCTTCTGCCGCTAACAATAATGCAAAATGCAAATTAATCTACACAATAAAAAATGGAAAAAAACATAGTGGAAAACAAGAAAATAAAATGGCAAATACAAGTCATATTAAATTGGGCTTACATCATCAAGACGTCGCTAAGATATGGCCCAAATATAGTGCCTACATGGCAATCATATACATGTTTGGTGAAGAGTCTTATATAATACTTGGTCTAGGTAGTTCTTAGGTATTACAAAGTTCCCACGACGCCCAATAGGAATCAAAAAGGAAAAACTCTGTTAAACAGTTGCGTGTTTTCAACTATTAAAGATATTTCAATTAGAGCCAAACAAATTGTCGAAAACTTTTGGGAAAACTTGAACTAACATATTGTATATCGGACAAGTTCAGTGACAGTGAGATAGAGAGAGAGTGTGTGAGAGAAAGAGCGGGAAAGAAAGCGATTATGTTGTGACGTGCAAACCTAAAAGCTTAAACGCTCATTGTGACAATTGTGGAGACTTAATTATTTACTAATTGTTGTTGAATTATGAAAAACTATACCGCTTAATTATATAGCTAATACTATTCTTGGGGGGGAATAAGCTATAAAGTGAAAAAAGAAATGAATACAAATTCAACTCAATTGCAGTTCCAGAAACAAAGCAAGTAAAAAAGCCAAAAAGAGCTAAAATATGCCAGTACTGCAAGCTCCGCCCCACAAGACGTTAGCTCAATGTGTGTGAGTGTGTGTGAGTGCCCGCTCTGGCAGCGTGTATGAGCATGTGTGTGTGTGTTTTTAGCTTGCGTGTGAAACAACCACCAGAGAGCGCTGTTAACAACATGGCGTGGTTCCATTTCCATAACGTTCCGTGCCAAACTCACACTGGAATTTTGAGTGAAATACAATGAAATTTTCAACGCCTTCCAAGTACAGACGCGAACACCTCGTCTGAAAATGCAGGCAATGCACCACAAAGCAACCTAGAGCAATAAATTAGCAAACAAAGAACAACAAAGCCGCGTTTGCATATTAATAATTTGAGCATTAAAAGAAACAATAACAACAACTGCAACTAGAGCTTGTGTGCGCCAGCTTAGACGCACTTAAGATGGCCAATTGCCGATAAAGCCGCTCCATGGACTTGCTGTTACTGTTGCCGTCCCTCTCCCTGTCTAGGCCCTGCTTAATGCGCCGCAAATTGCTCGTGTTGCTCCGACAGAGACAACTTGCAGCTTACACCTTGCAACGTGCAACGTGCAACGCGCTAGGTGCAAGCTATTAAATTTACATAAATGAAGTATTATGCGCCAAAATCAGGCTTCACTGAACACCTCCATTCACTTGCTAGTCTTCTCTTTCCTAAAGAATGTTCATCTGTTTCTTGAAATGTTTTTTTTTTTTTTTGTTTTTTTCATTTGTTTTGCAATTGCATAATATACTAATTAAAAAATTTTTATATTAAAGGAACTTAATTGGCTTTAGGAATTGGTAACGCCTGATTTAAATAATAAAAAAACAATAAAATTATAATTATAAAAAATTGGAAATATAAAGTTGATAAATACAGAAATTTGTATTTGATATTATCATATAAATTGTAAATATCTTAAATGATAATAAAACTTGAGAAGCCGTAAATGAGAATTAAATTATTATAATAGTATTATTTTTTGATTTTATATTAAAAATCATGAAATATAGAAAACATTTTGTACACAATTAATAATATAACAAAATATATACAAAATGGATATCTCTAAACAGTTTAAGAGAATAATATTTTGATATATTATAATTATTATCATGAAATGTATCATTTTTTAAATAGTATATATTTTAATATTAAATAACTTAATTATTATGGAGGAAAACTAAGAAAAGTGCAATATTTTCCCACTTGCCAAGCCTTAATATACACATATATTTATATATGAATATGTATATATGCAAAGAGAAGGTAAAATTATTGTTGCTGTACAAATATAGAAAATACATTTTTTCTTTGGCTATGGAATACTCCATGGCGGTGCTGCTTCATAGCCTGGGAAAATGTATCCTGTACCGAGTTCAGCTCAATATTCGCGCTTTGGTAAAGGGATTACGAATAGAGCTCTATATAAAAGGGATGCTTATAATTAGGGACACGAAAAAAGTATCGATATTTTCGGTATCGGATACATTGGGGCGATGATACCGATACTTTTTACTCGATGTTTTGGTTTCGATATTTTTACTTATCGAGTATCTCTAGAGCCATATCGAGTAAAGAAAAATACGCGGGATCAAGTCAAGCTCGCCAGCCAATTTGCGCAAAATTTGAGACTGAGTTTGAGTTGAATCATTAAAAAAGGTTAAAACAGTGAATTATTATCGAAGTCAATTTGATTTATAGTTAAAGTAAGTAATAAAGCAATTACTCTATGCAGTTTATTGAAATATATTTCTTTAAAAGAAT